GACTGGAGAAATGGCAGGGTCAGGAGCTGTTCCAACGGGCAAGCAGCCCTGGTTCATCGTTCCTAATTAGGAGAGCCTCCGCCCGCGCGCCAACACCCTTACCGCCCCCCACGCTTCACCCACGTGGACACCTGACGTCCCACCTGCAGGCTCGCCTACCTTCTCTACTGTCAGAATCACGGCTGCACCCCCTCCCAAGCTGTCTTACTGCCTCACGCAGTAAGGAGGTAAGGGAGAAAGAACAGGGTGGATTTATTTACCAAAAGTAAAGTAGCGTTGGGGATGAGGGGACACCAGGGTCTCTCTCCCAAAGATATCCTTTATAGTGTGATCATGTTGACTAGTTTTCAATTTTGCCACTTCTTAAAGCAAAGTAATTAATATGAACTTGTTGTCTCCAATATTTATAGATCAGAGCTTTTGGAGTCATCGTTTTAAAATACATCTACATTCTTCCAATCTATAACTTAGAAGGTTTAAAAAAAAAAAAAAAGCACAGGAGTGAAAACTGCAAAAGCAGTTTTGGACTAGACATTTCGTCCTGTGCACACTCACACGTGCTCACATAATCACCTTTATACTACAGTTTCCCAGAAAGTAATGCTCTTTGCCTAGCAGAGGCCACAGTGAGCTAATGCAGGACTCAAGGCTGATGGCCTTATGGTAGCTCTTTCAGCCACCGAAAGAATGAAGGAGAAGAAATGAGAATGAGTAGATGGGTAGGTTAGAGGCACAATGTATGAACTGGAAGATGCCAGTACTCTGTCTGGGTAACGTGCTGTTAGACAAATCGCCAGTATTTAGTATTACTCAAATAATATAAACAGAAATATATAAGAGGGTATGAGAAAATGTTCCCAAAGAAATATAAAGTAAAGCAAAAAAGTAAAGGGTGCCTCGGCAGCTCAGTCGGTGAAGCATCTGACTTCAGCTCAGGTCATGAACTCAGGGTCCTGGGATTGAGCCCCACATTGGGGCTCCCTGTTCAGCGGGCAGTCTGCTTCTCCCTCTGCCCCTGCCCCTCCCCCCCTGCTCTCTCTCTCTCTCTCTCTCTCTCTCTCTGAAATAAACAAATAAAATCTTTTTAAAAAATAACATTTTTAAATAGTATTAATTGTTCACTTACTATCAATCAATATATGATTTTCCCTTATATTGATGGTCAGCCTACAAATTTACCCAAAACTTCTCAAATGTAAATATAATTTGAAGGGTTAGTCTCCCCTCTTGGAATCCATTCTACAGAATAGCTGTTAAATACAGGAAAGTATTGGGTGCCTGGGTGGCTCAGTTGGTTAAGCGACTACCTTCGGCTCGGGTCGTGATCCTGGAGTCCCGGGATCGAGCCCCGCATCGAGCCCCGCATCGGGCTCCCCGCTCAGCGGGGAGTCTGCTTCTCCCTCTGCCCTCTTCCCTCTCGTGCTCTCTGTCTCTCATTCTCTTTCTCTCAAATAAATAAATAAATAAATCTTAAAAAAAAAAAATACGGGAAAGTATTTAAAGAACAAAAATGTTCATTACAGATTTGCAATAACCATTTAAACTTTTAAAATGAAGATTAAGAGGAACGCATATTAATGTAGAAACGTGCGCACAAAATAACTTTAGGGGATTCTGTAAGCAGGATTTAGCGGGAGCAGAATAATGTTGAACAGACAAACAGACTCGTACAAGAAGATTCCAACAGAATGCAGCACATTACTGATGATCGCGTCTGCCTGTCAGCGAAGGACCATGGCTCGTTCCCCCTTTTCTAATTGTCAAATGTATAACACTACATTTGTATCACTTTTACGGAAATATTTTTAAATTTAGGGTTTGGGGCTTTGCTTGCATGGAGCCGCCCAAATGCCCAAATGCCCAAATGCCCTCGGCTGCCCTCGGGGTCCTCCTGCCTTGGCCATCTTCTGTGTCCCAGAAGGGGACCACTAGTTAACCCAGAGAACATCAGGTAACTCCTGAATTAGCTAAGAACATGCCACATCTCCGCTGCTGACCCCCCAGTCTCCACTCCTCTTGGGCTAATATGGAAGGTCCACAGTTGTCTCCAGCTACTCTTCCTCGAGTCCCCACAGCCTACGGAGCATGTGATCACAGGCCTCCCGCCCTGGTGATGCTAGCCAGCCCGTATGCACCATTGGCCCCGCGTCCCTTACTCCTTACTCGTTTCATCCTCCCAACCCCGTGAGGCGTTCTTACTCTTCTGGCCCCACACACGGGAACCAAACCTCAGAGCTGCTGGGGACAGCCCTCTCCTAAGTGGCAGACCACGGACACGGTGTAGGGCCTCTGATTCCAAACCACCACGGTTCCAAGAATGTGCTGTATACGTTTACTTCCAAGTTTGGCATCCATTGCTTCCCTCTCCAGGAATGCCCTTCAACGACCTTCACTATGCAGCATGCCTCTGCCTATTCTTCCAGATCCAGCTCCAATGGCCCTGAATACCTGTGTGCTATCTTTCCAGGTCACCCCAGATGAGAGGAGTGCTCCTCCTTCCCGACTCCACAGCCTGTGGATTTTCAATCTATTTTGTCACTCCCTTTGGCCACATTTCAAGGGAAGTTCTTTACTTATTGTTCCCTCCCGTGAGTGTGAGAGGTGGGGACGATTTCCTATTCATGTTTAGCACCCATTAGAGCTTGGCACATAGATGACATTCAATAGATATTTGTTGGATTGATTAATTAATTAATTAGATGCTGGTGCCACTGCTCACTGAGCATTGCCTGCCTCTGCAAACACACAACCTACCCACCAGGGCAGGAATGCAGCAATGTACACATGAAAGCCATTTAAAGCAATTTTTCTCGGTGCTTATTAATATTGACAATTCTACAAGCCTACATAATTAAATACTTTCCTTCTTCCAAAGGTCAAAATGAGACCCAGGGTGAAGATTAGTAATGACCACCATGGCTATAAAGGAGTTTTCCGTATTACGGGATGAGATGCATTATTTGTGTCTGAAGGAAGGGAGCTCGTTGCTTCACTGATGGCTTCCCAGGAGAAGGCTCAGGAGGGAAACCGTCCAGTCTCCTTTAGATTTCAGGTGCTCTGCAGAGAGAAGGCGCTCCTCTAGTCCAGGGCAGGTGGGCTTATCTGAGAGTGAAAACAAACCCAGGATACCGAAGCAGGCAGGCAGATCTGCGGGGAGAATGGCCATCCTGCAAGAGCGGGGCTGGTTAAGGCAAAGGTGGACATCTGGGGAGAGAGCTCGTGACTCTGCCCAGCTTCGACTCTGGCACCAACAACACAGCCGGGCGGGAACGTCCTGAGGGAGGGATCACGGGTCGCTGGACCCTCAAAACTGTGCAGGCATTCCAGGTCCACAAAGAAGGGAATCACTTGACAGGAACCAGAGAAAAGCTCTGTCTGGGTCTGGGAAAATCCCATTGGAAATTCTCTACAAGAAACTACTTGTTTATTCCTTTGTCTACAAAACAGAGTAAAAATGGATTAACTGCTTTTTAACAAAGGACGTCATTCCCCCGGAGACCATAGGCCAATGGGTGCCTTTCCTGCAGAGACCATAAGCCCAGGCACCGGCGCGGAGGTGTTGGGTGAGATGGAGGAGAGACCCTCCTCACGACCCACGTTTCACAGCCTTGGAGCCTGTACTGAGGGCTGATGTAGAAGCTAAGAAGAAGGAACTTCTCCTGTGTCTCTAATGTTTAACGGAGACCCTAGGACACTACATGAGTTCAAATTCTCTCTTTTATGCTCCAGAGTCAGATGCTAGGGTGTAATCACTCTGTCACTCTAGAGCACGGGACCGTATCCCCAGCACCGCCATCTTCTTTCTCAAACCCAACCGGTGAACCAACTGCATGCCTCCCTGACCTGTCACCCAAGCGTGGCTGGTCCCCACTTCCCTATTCCCATCCTGGGATCCCTGCCATTGAGTTCAGGCTGTTTCGATTCATGTTAAAAGGAACTTTATTAACTGACTTGTGAGCTGGTCAAGCATACCGTTTTCAGGCAGTTTGGAGAACAAAATGGTGTGCTGGCTGGTGTTTCCAGGAGCCGTGGGATGCTTTCTCCTTCAAAGCCCCTGTCCTCAAACCTTGCCTTTTGGGAGAAAGTTGCTTTAATTGTAAATACAGATTGGTTGTACATAGTGTGTATGTCTATGTGGATGATTCAAACAGGAAAATAAAAACTTTATAATGTATGCTTATTTTAAAAGTTCATATTTTAAAAAATCACTGCAGATTTGGACTCTGTTGCATGGGGAAGCCCCAGGTGAGCATCTCAGGATGCTTGTCCCCACAGAGCTCAGCATGGGCACAGGGCCCATCCCTGGTGGTTACTATGGGCAGAGCCTCTTGCTATCCTTTGCCAAAGCTTATTTTTCTCTTGTTTCCTAAAACATAGACAATAAATACAGCAATTCATGAATGGCATTTTAGGATACACTTAACATGCTCTTTGACTTCTGGTCTTACAGAGAGAGAGAGAGGTGTCTGCCAAATTCTGGCACTTGAAAAGAAAATGAGAGTAGTACTTGTGTCTGGGAGTGAGAGAAACTGGGATTAGCCTAAAAGAAGGGAACTTTCTGGAATAACAGTGGTAATGTTCTATGCCTTAATAAAGATTGGTAACATAGATGTATAACCCTAGTTAACGATACATACATTGAAGTATTTGGGGGAAGTACAAAAAAATCTAAGTTGAATTAATGGATGGAGATGATAGATAATAGGTGGATGATAGATGGGAGAGAGGGAGGAAGGGAGAGAGGGGGGCAGAGGGGAGGGAAGGAAGGAGCGGGAAGGGGAGGGTGGGGAGGGAAGGAGGAGACAGATGGATGACAAATCATGTATAGTCTAATGTCAGTGGTAGAATTTAGGACCAGTGTTGACTGAAATTCGATGTTGCCTTGTGCCTGAAATTTTTACAATGAAATATTGGAAGAATTATCCCATTTCGTCGTCAGTATGAGACTTGAATGTCAATATGAGCTTCCTCTTCACACAAAAGCTCCCGTCCGTCACACCCAAAGTAAAATGCATTTATTGCCTAAGACACAGTATTAAGTACATTTACGGAGCCTAGGGATGCGTTGGTCTCCAAGAATCCTCCGGGTGAGCGGAGACAAGATGTAAATCCGCACTTCATCTCTGTAAAAACAAACAGCAAAGCTTGGGCCTGGAGCCTCAAGTCTCCAACAGCCTCTTTCTGGAGTGCCCGAACCCCCTGAGCCCCCTCAGGGGAACAGGCTGGGTTTACTTAGCCACTTAGAGAAAGGTCCACTGGGAATAACTAGCCCCAGGGTTTCTCCAACAAATCTCATCCCACTCTGCTCGACTCGCTCCGAGATACGTGCTGAAGGCATGAGCCTGAGTCGTGCAGCTGGCCGCATCACACAGCCCCGTGCCTCCCCCACTTGGCACCCTTCTCTGTACACTGGCCACTGAGGCTTTTCCCTGGCCAGTCACCCAGTAGATCACCTGCAGCCCACCTTCCTTCCACCCCACCTTCTCTTATCAGCCACCCTGGCGCCAGGAAGATGCGAGCGATGAGTCATTCCCACACGGGTCTCCCGCAGAAACCTCCTTCTCCAGCCTCATGCCTAAAATGGCTTCTGGTTAAGGAAAGATGAAAGAGCTCCATCTAGCTGTGCAGGAAACGGCAAGTGCACTCAACAGCGCGGGCAGGAAGCGAGTCCGCCTGTTCCCAGGCTCCTCCCTTTGCAGACAGTTATCTGGGCAAAACAAAACCCTCAACCCCTTTCTTAAAACTTCTGCCACCTGCAATAGGTCAATACGAACTCAAGGTGTTTTAGATCGAAACCTGATAACTGTCCAGAACTTCTTCGGGTCAGCCCACATTTTAATTGTATTTATTCTCTTCCTCCTCCCCCCCAAGTAGATTTTTAACATGAATATTTGGCATGCTCTACAAAATCTGCTAGGAAAAACAGATGCAAAGTCTGCAAATATTTGAGTGCAATTATACTAATTCCCGGTGACTATGGAAGGAGGAAGTCAACACCACTTTGCAAGAGGATGTCAGAAGCGCTGGGGCTGGTCGGGGCCGTCACTGTCCACAGCTCGTCAGGCCGCTCTGGCTGTGGTCAGCCAGGCAGGGGGAGTCCCTGCCCACGAGCTCCAGAAGCCATGGAATGAATCACGGGGTGCGTGTCGGAGGATGCGCAGGCACCAGGCCCCCAAAGGCGCGTCCCAGGCCGCCCTGCCCTGGCCGTCGGGGGCCTCAGGGCAGCTCCGGTCAGGGTGCCATGGTCAGGGAGGGCTTCTCTGAGTTCTCCGTGGCTGCAGAGGCTGCACTGAGGTAGAGGCCGTCAGCCCCCCGGCCCCAGCATCCGGGCTACTGTGCTGGAGGAAAGCGGGCACAGTGGCCTGGATCATGCCAGCCAGTTTGGAAAAAGTTGAGTTGAGTCATTTGACATGAGGCTCTTGGCCTGAATCGCAAGCATCTGGGCCGTGCTGTGTCTGGAAACGGTGTGGAGCAAGGACACACACACACCCTGGCATGGACGCTACATGTCGTCCCTGAAGGAGGAAAGTTGCTGGAGGCCCGAGCGGAAAGGCCTGTGAAGAGAAGGCTATTTTAGAAGAGGCGCCCCAGGGTTCTAAGAACCGGACAGACCCCTCCCAGCGCGGGGAGCCGAGGCCCCCGCCCGGCGCCCAGCTAGCTGTCCACCCGAGGGAGGTCGGGGCACATCAGGTCGCCCGGGCTGTGGGCAGCACATTTCAGGGCTTCCCACGCGCAGGGCTGGCAGGCGGCAGCCCCACGGCTGCGGGGAGTCCTACCACAGCAGGGGAGGTCCCGGCGGGGGCAGGAGAGCCAATGCAGGGAACACTAGGCCCGGTGAAATAAAGTCCATTCGTTGTCATCAGAAAAACAGATGGAATTTTACTTTACTGACACAATGATCCCAACTGAACACTGGTGTTTCCCCCCAAAATGCGGGCCTTCCAGCAACGTCAGGTGCTTATTTCGGTGCATGCGAGCCCAGGCGGGCAGCATGTGGGAGGGACCGTGGCTGGACGGTCCCTGTAAACATGTTCTCGGCACGGACCCAGCACCCTGCTGCGTAGCTCAAGTCTGAGCGCTGGGCGGAGGCAGAGCCTGGGGACAGCACCGGCGACTGGACCAGCTCGCTGTCAGCGACCGACCGAGGGTCCCAACCCCGAATGCGGTGTGAGCACATCCAGAGGCAGGGAGCTCTGGGAGCCGGAGGGATGGGACACCTTGTCCCGGGCGGGGGAAGTGGAGGCATCCACACCCCGGGTCCCGAGAGTCACTGGCCCAGAAATTCTCCTGCAAGCTCGGGTCCGATGCCCCAGATCTCAGCAGTGTCTGTTTCCCCTAAAGAAGGGATGCTGACGGACCCACAGCAGCCATTGAAATGACCCAGATAATTAGAGAAAGTATCATTGTACGGGGAGAATCAACATGGCTTTGGTTTCAGTGTTGGTATAAAATAGGCTCCTTCCAAATTCCCCAGATATGAGTCGGCCTCTGTGTGTACCATGAACCACTACAAGGAAAACACACATTGATGTCCTTTTGCAGAACATTCCAGGAAATAAAATCAGATAAGCCCTCGAGGGATCTCAGGCCTGGGCTCTGTGGTTGCTGTTGGATATGAAGAGAGTGGAGAATGTCCTCTTAGCTGCCATTGGCACAAGGAACCGGCAGCCTTGTAGATCGGTCAGGTCCAGGAACAAGAGTCAGTGCTGGGCGTCACCAAGTTCCCAGTGCTTGCCTAAAAAGAAGAGGGGGCCACTGGAGGAGAGAAGCCATGTGAATCCTAGAGAAGAAGTAGAGAAGGTGGTCCAGAAGGATTAAAGAATGAGGGCTTTGTTTCAGTCTCACAAGCAAAGAGCCCCAAAGCCCATGAACTGAAGCCATGAGGACCCATGTGGTGTCCAAAGACAGAGGTGGAGGAGAAAGGGGCCCCTCCGCAGGGAGGTGTGTGTGCCCACCGAGCAAGGGTGCTCTGCTGGAGGGCCTCACAGCCGGGAGGAGAACGGGCTTCACAGAAGAACAAGCCCCCACTCCCCCCGCTCGACTCACAGGTCCCATCCTGCAAAGTTTAAACCCACTTACATCCTCCTTTCTCCCAGGCATGACACAACATTTGATTTCAGAGTCGAAGTTTGCATTTGCAGTAAGCTATGACTCCCACGTCAACATGCTTTCAAAATAGCTGCAAGTCCCACGTGGGCAAGAACTATGTGCTCAAAAATGATAACAAGGAGGTCCGGGCTGTCCGGTTCCCTGCACGCTTGGCGCTCACAGCCGCTGTGCAACTCTCTTACCTACTTGACATAATAAATAATGTTGGTCCATGCACATCATCCCTATGAAAGTACGACAGAGCAGTTTACCAAGCAGTTATAATCTGTACCTGCACGTACAAATTGGAGGATTAAAGCATCATCTCTGTGTTCCTTCCAGCATCTGTAAAATCTCAGAAGCATATCATAACCACCAAAGTGTTGTCTGCTATCATAATAATTCACTAGGTTATTAGCAGGCTCGTGCTCTCTGCAAATGTGCAGCAAAACGCAGAATGTCAGTGCCCCACAGAACACGGTCTTCTGAGTTTCGTCAGAGAATCAATAACAAGAAAGTGTCCTTTCTTTATATATCTGCCGCAGAGAAGTAGGGCTCCGGGGATATAACTCAAAAATTCCACTCATTTCCTATCCAGGACCGAGAGAACTTTGTTTGTTTGAACACTAAGGCGGGGTGGGTGGGTGGGGGTGTGTGTGTGAGAGAGAGAGAGAGAAAGAGATTCTACTGTCAGTAAGAGTCACAGAAAAACCCATCCCGTGCTGGAGAACATTCTACAAACGTAAGTCTGCCATTTTCATGAGCATGCCCTCTGTCCATTTGAAAAGCCCCACGGTCATCCCAAAGAGGATGCTTTCTTAATGTGACAACTTAAGACTGACAAAGTGATTGTGGCCTGAAATAACTCATCTCAGGAATGTGGAGGCACAGAAATCCCAGGTGAAGAACGAAAGAGTGTGTGACCTCCAGTCCATTCCAAAGGCCTTTCGACAGGTCAACTTGGCTAGGCCATGGTGCCCAGATATTTGGCCAAAGAGGGATGTGGATGTATTTTTTACATGAGATTAGCGTGTAAATCACTACACTTCTAGATTCTCCTCCATAATGTGGGTGGGCCTCATCTAATCAGTTGAATGCTTTAAAAAAAAATAAGACTGAGCTTTCATGAGGAAGGAAGAGGGACTTCTGGCCACGGATAGCCTTCGCATCTGAACTGTGACAGTGGTCCTTCCTTGGCTCTGCAGATCGGCAGCTCAGCCTGCAGATCTTACACTCCCAGCCCACGCAAGCGCGTGAGCCAGTGCCTCAAAATCTCTCTCTCTCTCTCTGTCTCCCTCTCCTTCCCTCTCCACATATATGCCAAAAATCTGTGGCTTCTCACTCTCTCTGGGGCCAATAGTGTCTTTCGCCTGTGGCAGCCATGCCTCCCAGCCTTGGGGGTGGATCCCCGGGAGGGTTTGCAGGTCCCAGCAGCTGTGGCTCATGCCCTGTAGGAATGGGACCAGCTCATGCTGCATGCCAGTGTGAGTTAGACCCTCTTCCCTCACCGCACTCTCTCGTCCTGTGCCATCAGCCAGCTTCCGGGAGAGGGAGGCTGCCCCCGGAGTCGAGGCAGGCCCAGCTCATCTGCTGGTGTCAGGCATGAGGAGCGCCGGGACCCAGTCCATCTCCAGGGGCTTAGAGAGGCACGGTCCCCAGGGGCGTCCTGCGGGCACGTCGCTCCCACACTGCCACCACACAAGCATGCGTGGGGTTTTCTAAGAGGAAGGCCAGCACAGACGTTGGGAGGCACCGTAATGCTGGCCGATACAGACGGAGGGCTGCCCACCGGCCGGGCGCGTCTCCGCGGGCTTTACATCAGCTCAGGGTGTCTTCCAGACAGACCCTGAGGCACATATGTCCTAGGAGCCCCAGTCCGCACACGGGGAAAGCAAGGCACAGAGCAGTTAAGTAACGTCCCCAAGTCGCAAGCAATAAGTGGTGAAACCAGAAGTCCGGGGGCCCCACTCTCCACCCCCAGACCAAGAGGAGGTGACATTGGAGACCCAAGCAGGTGTGGAAAACAGGGCTGCTTGTCACTGTCTGTGCTAAAGGAAAGTGGGAGTCCGTTCCTAGGAATGCGTATGGTGATGGAGAAACAGGAAACGGCCCATCCCAGAGCCAGCCGCCAGAACCAGGGACCAAAGAGGCTGCCCCTCACGCCGGGCTGACGTCCCAGCTCCCCCACTATTACCCCTCTGAGCTTCCTCTGAATATCAAGGATAGTAATTGCCCCTTCACCTGGCTACTGGGTGGATTACGTTTGAAAAGAGGATGGTTCCAGGGAAAGTGGGTACTTGGGATTGTGCTGGGAACAAAATACAATCGTGGTTACGATGCATGTGACATGCAGTCACCGGTGGACACACGGCACATCCCTTGGCTGAGTCTCAGAGCCACACTAGGAATCCGAGCAGGACTGGGGCTAGCGAGAGGAGGGGGCGGCGTCCAGGACAGGCAGCTCTGGGGTCAGCACCGGAGAGGGAGTGCTCGCTCCCTAGACCTCTCTGTTCTGTGCCTGGACAG